GAGGAGCCTGAAAACGTGGTTGTCCCGGTGTGCCTTCCCAGAATAAGGAAAACTCTTAGCAATATGTCCTCAAATGCACTTTAATATTGATTTAGGATTGTCTGCACGCCCTCACCTTTCTCTAAAAACCCTATCCTAGTTTACCCTACTTTGTTCATGCCCAGCATTTTTAAATTTTAAATGTTAATTATTACATTTGGGCCGGCCATAGGTTTTTAAATGCTGATTGTTATTGATATTGTTATTGTTTATTGTGTATTTTTTGTTTTTTGAGTTTATTTTAACTGTTTTGTATTGACTATTTGTTATTGTTTTTGTTTATTGATGTGTTGTGGGCTTGACCTCATGTAAGCTGCACCAAGTCCCTTGGGGAGATGGTAGCGGGGTACAAATAAAGTTTTATAATCATGATGATGATGATGATGATGATTATTATTATTATTATTAAATCCCATCTACACATACAATCCAGATGATCTGCTTTGAATTGGATTATATGGCTGTGTAGACTCATATAATCCAGTTCAAAGCAGAAAATCTGGATTGTATATGGCAGTGTTCATGGGACCTACGTCTGCAAGAATCCTTATTTGGGGACAGGGGCATTTAGCAATAAGATACTCTGGAAGAAGTAAATGGTTAAATGGACTAACCCAGAGGGTGCTCCCCAATGCTTCCTCTTCAACTTGGAAAGAAGTGACGAGCGGAGTGCCATGCAGGGCTCCGTCCTGGGCCCGGTCCTGTTCAACATCTTTATTAATGACTTAGATGAAGGGCTAGAAGGCATGATCATCAAGTTTGCAGACGACACCAAATTGGGAGGATAGCCAATACTCCAGAGGACAGGAGCAGGATTCAAAACGATCTTGACAGATTAAAGAGATGGGCCAAAACTAACAAAATGAAGTTCAACAGTGACAAATGCAAGATACTCCACTTTGGCAGGAAAAACGAAATGCAAAGATACAGAATGGGGGACAATGCCTGGCTCGAGAGCAGTACATGTGAAAAAGATCTTGGAGTCCTCGTGGACAACAAGTTAAACATGAGCCAACAATGTTTAACCAATGGGATTTTGGCCTGCGTCAATAGGAGCATAGGGTCTAGATCTAGGGAAGTAATGCTACCCCTCTATTCCACTTTGGTTAGACCACACCTGGAATATTGTGTCCAATTCTGGGCACCACAATTCAAGAGAGATATTGACAAGCTGGAATGTGTCCAGAGGAGGGCGACTAAAATGATCAAGGGTCTGGAGAACAAGCCCTATGAGGAGCGGCTTAAGGAGCTGGGCATGTTTAGCCTGAAGAAGAGAAGGCTGAGAGGAGATATGATAGCCATGTATAAATATGTGAGAGGAAGCCACAGGGAGGAGGGAGCAAGCTTGTTTTCTGCTTCCTTGGAGACTAGGACGTGGAACAATGGCTTCAAACTACAAGAGAGGAGATTCCATCTGAACATGAGGAAGAACTTCCTGACTGTGAGAGCCAGGCATGTAGCCGGGGGGAGGGGGGGGGGCTTGAGGGGCTTCAGCCCCCCCCAAAATTCTCATGGTGGTTCGCGAAAAGGCCTTACTGGTGCATTATTTAAACAGTTATGTTTATTCATATCATGATCTGATCACCATACTCAATATATCCCATATGCATGGGGGTATTGGGGTAATGATACAAAAGGTTTGCTAGGGTAGACCCTCTTTCACTCAGACTCAGCCCCCCCTGAAACTCAGCCCCCCCCCCCCAAAAACTGCAAGAATGTCAGTTTTCGCCTATTTGATCATTTCCCATTAAGTTTACATTGGAATGGCAAAGTGTGTCCCAGAGAGTCAAGTAACTGCAAGAATGTCAGTTTTCGCCTATTTGATCATTTCCCATTAGTTTACATTGGAATCGCAAACTGTGTCCCAGAGAGTCAAGTAACTGCAAGAATGTCAGTTTTCGCCTATTTGATCATTTCCCAATTAGTTTACATTGGAATCGCAAACTGTGTCTCAGAGAGTCAGGTAACTGCAGGAATGTCAGTTTTCGCCTATTTGATCATTTCCCATTAGTTTACATTGGAATCGCAAACTGTCCCCCATGAGGAAGAACTTCCTGACCGTGAGAGCCATTCAGCAGTGGAACTCTCTGCCCGGAGTGTGGTGGAGGTTCCTTCTTTGGAAGCTTTTAAACAGAGGCTGGATGGCCATCTGTCAGGGTGATTTGAATGCAATATTCCTGCTTCTTGGCAGGGGGTTGGACTGGATGGCCCATGAGGTCTCTTCCAACTCTTTGATTCTATGATCCTATTGGAATGTGTCAGAGGAGGGCGACTAAAATGATCAAGGGTCTGGAGAACAAGCCCTATGAGGAGGCTTAAAGAGCTGGGCATGTTTAGCCTGAAGAAGAGAAGGCTGAGAGACGACATGATAGCCATGTATAAATATGTGAGAGAAAATCCACAGGGAGGAGGGAGCAAGCTTGTTTTCTGCTTCCCTGGAGACTAGGACGCGGAACAATGGCTTCAAACTACAAGAAAGGAGATTCCATCTGAACATGAGAAAGAACTTCCTGTCTGTGAGAGCCATTCAGCAGTGGAACTCTCTGCCCTGGAGTGTGGTGGAGGCTCCTTCTTTGGAAGCTTTTAAACAGAGGCTGGATGGCCATCTGTCAGGGGTGATTTGAATGCAATATTCCTGCTTCTTTATTATTAAACTTTATTTGTACCCCATTAGCATCTCCCAGGGGATTCAATGCGGCTTACACAGGCCGAGGCCTCAACAACACAACATAACAATACAATCAAGCAAATCAAACAATTAAAACAAAATAAGCAAAGTAAACAACAGGCACAGTACATTAAAACACAAACTGGGCCGGGCCAAAAGGTGGGTACAAGGATTAAAAGTGCTGATTTGACAGGAGGTGTATAGAGGGTTTCTAGGGCAAGTGCGATGTGCGGTGTGCAGCAATCATTGGTTCTGGTAAAGTGCTTGTGGGACTCGGTAGTGGAGATTTCCTAATCTGGGAAGGCGCATCGGAAAAGCCAGGTTTTTAAGTTCTTTCTGAAGATAGCCAATGAAGGGGCCTGTCTAAGGTCTTTGGGGAGGGTGTTCCAGAGTTGGGGGGCCACTACGGAAAAGGCCCTGTCCCGCGTCCCCACCAAGCGCGCTTGCGACGCCGGTGGGATCACGAGCAGGGCCTCTCCAGATGACCGAAGAGAACGCGTGGGTTCGTAGATGGAAATGCGGTCACGCAGGTAGGCTGGTCCCAAACCGTTCAGGGCTTTGTAGGTAAGCACCTGCACCTTAAATTGGGCTCGGAATATAAACGGCAGCCAGTGGAGTTCCTTAAACAGGAGGATTGACCTCTCTCTGTAAGGGGGTTGGACTAGATGGCCCATGAGGTCTCTTCCAACTCTTTGACTCTATGATTCTAAGAAAACTTTAAAGTGGAACCATTTAAAGTGGAATCCGGTGTCAAACAGGGATGTGTTATTGCCCCAACTCTATTCTCCATCTTCATCGCTATGATACTTCACCTTGTTGATGGGAAGCTTCCCACCGGAGTGGAAATCATCTATCGGACAGATGGCAAGCTATTCAACCTCAGCAGACTGAAAGCCAAAACCAAGGTTACAACAACAGCTGTTATAGAACTCCAGTATGCTGATGACAATGTCGTCTGTGCGCATTCAGAAGAAGATCTACAAGCCACTCTAAACACCTTCGCAGAAGCATATGAGAAGCTTGGCCTGTCACTGAACATTGAGAAAACCAAGGTGCTGTTCCAGCAGTCGCCAGCCAATCCCTCTCCAACGCCAGTAATACAGCTTAATGGTGTAACATTAGAAAATGTGGACCATTTCCGCTACCTTGGCAGCCACCTCTCCACCAAAGTCAACATCGACGCCGAAATACAACACCGCCTGAGCTCTGCAAGTGCAGCATTTTCCAGAATGAAGCAGAGAGTGTTTGAGGACCGGGACATCCGTAGGGAGACCAAGGTGCTTGTCTATAAAGCTATTGTCCTCCCCACCCTGCTCTATGCCTGCGAGACGTGGACTGTCTACAGACGTCACATGCAACTCCTGGAACGATTCCATCAGCGCTGCCTCCGGAAAATCCTGCAAATCTCCTGGGAAGACAAGCGGACAAACGTCAGTGTGCTGGAAGAAGCAAAGACCACCAGCATTGAAGCGATGGTCCTCCAACATCAACTCCGCTGGGCCGGCCACGTTGTCCGGATGCCCGACCACCGTCTCCCAAAGCAGTTGCTCTACTCCGAACTCAAGAATGGAAAACGGAATGTTGGTGGGCAGGAAAAGAGATTTAAAGATGGGCTCAAAGCCAAACCTTAAAAACTCTGGCATAGACACTGAGAACTGGGAAGCCCTGGCCCTTGAGCGCTCCAGCTGGAGGTCAGCTGTGACCAGCAGTGCTGCAGAATTTGAGGAGGCACGAGTGGAGGGTGAAAAAGAGAAACGTGCCAAGAGGAAGGCGCGTCAAGCCAACCCCGACCGGAGACCGCCTTCCACCTGGAAACCAATGCCCTCACTGCGGAAGAAGATGCAGAGCAAGAATAGGGCTCCACAGCCACATATGGACCCACAAGGAAATCCATAATGGAAGACCATCTTACTCGTCCAACGAGGGATCGCCTAAGTAAGTCTAAGAAAACTGCAGAAAAAGAGAATTTAGCTGAGACAGGAGGCTTCCTCTTTGAACACAGTTCTAACTGGTCAGTTCTGAAAGGAAATTAGTAGCAGCCAGGCTTGGGCGAATGTAAGCAGCGCAGTCCTGCTTGTCATGGAGTTCCGCTCCTGATCCCTTTCCAAGGGGTGCCTTTTCCCATCTTGGCTGCAAACCCAGGTGACAAGGTCCCTCCCTCCTCCCGCCCGGCTTCCATTGGGGTTGGGGAAAGTCTGGCTGGGAGCAGGGCACCCCACCTTCGCCAGATTCGTGGACCCACAGCGCCACCGCGCGGCCGGGCCCGGGACTGCAGCTCGGCTGAAAACTCGCCTGGGAAGGAAGGAGGGGAATTATAAAGTAGGCAGTGACTTTTCCTGCCAGAGAAGTTGCAGAGCCCTGCAGCTGGAAGCGCCTCTGCCACACCCGGTTGGGTCCTTCTCCTCCCTCAAAAATCGAGGGGAAGACAGCAGTGTCCCGCTTGAAACCCAAAGAATCCCTTCGTTTTGCCCTTGATCCCCACTCGCCCCTCCAAGAAGCCTGGATGACCTCCTTGATCGACAGGTAAGGGGTTCCTGCACCCAGCCCTTCCTTCTCTTGCCTGACTTGAGTCGTTTGGATGAAGAAGGGGCCCTGCTGTGCTACTGGGACATGCATTGGTTTTATAGAGACAGCATAGACTTGTATTGAATTTGTATGTGAGTCTATTGTGATCATATACAGCAGTTTCAAGCTGTAGCAGTGTAGATGGGATCCAGGGACAGGCTTGTAGCCACTTTGTCAAGAGCTGTTTCTAAGGAGAGCTTAGCTTAGCATCTTATCATAGAATCAAAGAGTTGGAAGAGACCTCATGGGCCATGCAGTCCAACCCCCTGCCAAGAAGCAGGAATATTGCATTCAAATCACCCCTGACAGATGGCCATCCAGCCTCTGTTTAGGCTGGATCTTATGTCCTTGCTATGTCTGAGCTCAGGGGTGAAAGCCTTTTGGAATTTGGGATGGACTAAAAGGTTTAATAACCACTTCCATTGCTACCACTTTGACTGACAACACAGCAGGCATGTAGCCGGGGGGGGGGGGGTCGGGGGGCTTCAGCCCCCCCCCAAATTCTCATGGTTGTTCGCGAAAAGGCCTTACTGGTGCATTATTTAAACTGTTATGTTTATTCATATCATGATCTGATCACCATACTCAATATATCCCATATGCATGGGGGTATTGGGGTAATGATACAAAAGGTTTGCTAGGGTAGACCCTCTTTCACTCCGACTCAGCCCCCCCCCCGAAACTCAGCCCCCCCCGAACCCCCCTGAAAAAAATTCAGCCCTTCCCCAAAACGAAATCCTGGCTACGGGCCTGCAACACAGGATCTTTGTTTGTTTCTTTTCCATGTCAGGAGCGACTTGAGAAACTGCAAGTCGCTCCTGGTGTGACAGAATTGGCTGCCTGCAAAGACATTGCCCAGAGGATGCCCAGATGTTTTGAGGTAACACAGGTTACCTCTGAACCATTCTCAGCAGTTCCTCCCATAAATGATCAAGGGTCTGGAGAACAAGCCCTATGAGGAGCAGCTTAAGGAGCTGGGCATGTTTAGCCTGAAGAAGAGAAGACTGAGAGGAGATATGATAGGGGTACAACATCAGCAGAAGGCAATACAACAATTGATTCTTCCATTTAGGCTGTAGACCCACATTTAAGTCACTGTATTTAAGTCCTATTGTGTTAAGGAGCTGGGCATGTTTAGCCTGGAGAAGAGAAGGCTGAGAGGAGATAAGGTTGGACTGGATGAATGTCTAGAGAGGAAGTCTACACCTACACCATCTACAGCAGCGCTTCTCAACCTGGAGGCCGGCACCCCTGGGGGGGTTATGGGGGGAGGGGGTCAGAGGGGTTGCCAAAGACCATCAGAAAACACAGTATTTTCTGTTGGTCATGGGGGTTCTGTGTGGGAAGTTTGGCCCAATTCTATCGTTGGCAGGGTTAAGAATGCTCTTTGATTGTAGGTGAACTGTAAATCCCAGCAAATACAACACCCAAATGTCAAAGTCTGTTTTTCCCAAACCCCACCAGCATTTCCATTTGGGCATATTGAGTACTTGTGTCAAGTTTGGTCCAGATCCATCATTGTTTGAGTCCTGGATGGAGGTGAACTACAACTTCAAAACTCAAGGTCAATGCCCACCAAACCCTTCCAGTATTTTCTGTTGGTCATGGGAGTTCTGTGTGCCAAGTTTGGTTCTATTCCATCATTGGTGGTGTTCAGAATGCTCTTTGATTGTAGGTGAACTATAAATCCCAGCAGCTACAACTTCCAAATGACAAAATCAATCCCCCCCCCCCCCACCCCTATTCAAATTTAGGTGTATCAGGCATTTGTGCCAAATTTGGTCCAGTGAATGAAAATACATCCTGCATATCAGATATTTACATTACAATTCATAACAGCAGCAAAATTACAGTTATGAAGTAGCAACAAAAATAATTTTATGGTTGGAATCAGAGAATCATGAGTTGGAAGAGACCTCATGGGCCATCCAGTCCAACCCCCTGCCAAGAAGCAGAAACATTGCATTCAAAGTAACATAATTTTATGTTTGGGGGTCACCACAACATGAGGAACTGTATTAAGGGTTCGTGGCATTAGGAAGGTTGAGAAAGACTGGTCTACAGTCTAGCTAGTTGTGTTTGTTGTTGTGAAAGTTTGAAGGTGGAATGAGATGCTTGCAAGGGAACTGCAGTCGATGTGGCCAGAAAACATCCATTTCTTTTATTATGTTTTCCTCTCTCTAATATTGCCATCCTAACTTTGGGGTGTCCCCTCATTCAGGAGTCTTTCACTGCTGTCGATTTTTTGTTTCCTCTGAGCTAAAGCATGTCTGAATAGCGTACAATGATTTCCCAGAAGTGGGTTGCATGTTTCCAGCAATTCCCTAATCAGGGATAATGTGTTCGCCAGTGTTATGGCATGAAAAAAGGCCAGACGGAAGGCCCATTGCAAAAATTCTAGTGCTTTGCCTGTTCCTCTTTGGCCCCTTCTGCACTGCCATATAAAATCCAGATTGCCTGCTTTGAACTGGATTATGTGGCAGTGTAGACTCACATAATCCATCTCAAAACAGATAATGTGTATTATCTGATTTGATAATCTGACGTATATAATGGCAATATAGAAGGGGACATTTTTGCTAAATGAAACTACAATGGTTCTTGTAGGTTTTTTCGGGCTATAGGGCCATGTTCTAGAGGCATTTCTCCTGACGTTTCGCCTGCATCTATGGCAAGCATCCTCAGAGGTAGTGAGGTCTGTTGGAAATAGGAAAATGGGTTTATATATCTGTGGAATGACTGGGGTGGGGCAAAGAGCTCTCTGCTGAAGCTAGGTGTGAATGTTTCAGCTGACCACCTTCATTAGCATTTGAAGGCCTGGCTGAGCCTGGGAAAATCTTTTGTTGAGAGGTGTTAAGATGTGCCTGGTTGTTTCCTCTCTGCTGTTTTGCTGTTGTAATTTTAGAGTTTTTTAATACTGGTAGCCAGATTTTGTTCATTTTCATGGTCTCTTCCTTTCTGTTGAAATTGTCCACATGCTTGTCAATGTTGAAATCCCAGGTGACAGCAGGATTGAAGAGAAACAACTGGAAAAGCTGACACGATATGAGGAGAGATCTTGCCCCACCCCACAGTCATTCCAAGATATTATTTTTTGGGGTTTTTTTTTTGTTTTTTTTTTTTCTTCCACAGATATATAAACCCATTTTCCTATTCCCAACAGACCTCACTACCTCTGAGGATGCTTGCCATAGATGCAGGCGAAACGTCAGGAGAAATGCCTCTAGAACATGGCCCTATAGCCCGAAAAAACCTACAAGAACCTAGTGATTCCAGCCATGAAAGCCTTCGACAATACATTGAAAACTACAATGGGTCCTTGGTATTTGCTGGACTTGGTTTCAGGGCCCTCAACCCCAGGATGTTCTTGTACCAGAATATATTATGGTGTAGTAAATGGTATCCCTGAAACAAAATGAGAAAATCAAACTTGGCTGTTGGAGATTAAAAAAATATTTTTAAGATGTGTATAGTTGATAGGTGCCCACTCTACTTGACACCTCTCTCTACATTTGCTGCTTGGGCACAGTTCTGTTGCCCAGTGGAGTGTGCATACTATGGCCCCCTCTATACTGCCATATAAAATCCAGATTATCTGCTTTGAACTGGATTATATGGCAGTGTAGACACAGATCATGTGTTTAAAGCAGATAATGTGTCTGCTAAGACACCGGAATTCTTGAATGTTCAAGCCCCATTGTACACAATGGCAAATTGAAATGGCGATTATTGTATAAAATGCTAAAATTGAGTTTTGCCTTTTGGATTTTTTTCTTGATGTTTTCAAACCACTGCTGGTTGAATCCATGGACACAGAATCTGTGGGTAGAAAAGGCCAAGTGTACCATGACATGGATTTGGAGTATTAACAATGTGATTTTTCCAGAAAGATATTAATTATTCTTTTTTCTTTCCTTGGTTTGGTGTTTGTAATCCGAAAACCCCCAGACAGCCGTGGACATATTATTAACTACAGCTGAGAAATCGCAAAGCTTCAGTAAAAAGTTGCATCAGACTTTTAATAAAAGCAGCATGTAATATTTTTTTGGGCAGCATTCAGACAAAAAAGATTTTGGGGAACATCTAGTGGGCAAGTTGGAAAGAAAGTTTGAATTTGTATATGCAATGCCAGGGAAAGGGTTTGAGGCCTCAGCATTGCCTTCAAGAAAATGTCTCAGTACCAAATCTTGGCAGGAACACTAAGGCTGGATCTACACTGCCATATAATCCAGATTATCAAAACAGATAATCCACATTATCTGATTCGAACTGGATTACATGAGTATACACTGCAATATAATCCAGTTCAAATTTGGATTTTATATGGTAGTGTAGATGGGGCTTGCTTGGAGGATCTCCATTTTAGGCATTAATTGCAATTCATTATTGTATTTTATTTTTATCTTTCTGTTTCTGCTCTGGAGAAATGCCAGTATTCTACAAGAGCACGACATTTGCCTGTCAGGGGTCTGTTTGGACACCTATGTTTTAAGGCCTCCACTTCTCTGAAGTCTTGCCAGTGCTCCTCAGATGGTGTAATATAAATATAAGACATTCGTTTGGGTGGAAATTGTTTCCATAGTGCACACGTAATGCAGTTTAGGGGATACTGGCCTAATAAGGTTGAAAAGATGTAGGAAACTTAAACGAGGTCTGCAAATGTGAATGCTGGGGCACCATCTACACTGCCATATAAAATACAGATTATCTGTAGGTTCTTGTGGGTTTTTTCGGGCTATAGAGCCATGTTCTAGAGGCATTTAATTTATTTGAGCATATTATTTGAGAACACAGAAATGCTGGACCACACCAACAACCACCATGTCAGACTACACAGAGAAGCCATTGAAATCCACAAGCATGTGGACAATTTCAAGAGAAAGGAAGAGACCATGAAAATGAACAAAATCTGGCTACCAGTATTAAAAAACTCTAAAATTACAACAGCAAAACAACAG